GCCCGAGGGCCTGAAGTTTGGGCGAAAACTCGCGGAATGAAGAAGCTGCATCGCCCCAATCTCAGGGCACGGCCAGGAATTCACACAGCCGAGGAGCAGGAGGGGTGGGCAGGACGAGGAGGGAGGAGGGGGCAGGAGGCGGAGGTGGAGGGGGAGGGCTAGGCAGCGGCGGCGCAGCGCTCTTTGCATGATTGCCTCTCCCATGTTCTGGCCAACCCTCCCTGCAGCTCGGCCCCTTGGTGAGACGAGCAGCAAGCGGGGGGCCCTGCGAGCAGAAGGGGAGCGCCAACACAGACCGCGCCCAGTCGGCTGCACGCAAGAGTGGCTCCTCGCCGGGGTGGCCTTCGGTGCGGGCCCACGGGGGGCCACGAAGCGCTGGATGCGATGCGATCGCAGCGGCTTGCGCGCCTGGGTTTTCTGAAGGGGCCCCGGGACACACAAACAAGTAGACACAAATAACAAGATTCCCCATGTGTTTCCCATATTTTCTGTGTTTTTGTCTTCCCCCCCACTTCCCATATCTTCCCATACTTTCTGGGACATCGACGGTTAATGGTGTCTGTGTGATTTTCCCCCCTCCCACCGCGCCGGGTCGGCTTCCCGGGCCACCTGGGGCGGGAGCTCCCGCGGCCCCCGTGGGGGGGGGGGGGGGGGGCGAGCAGCCCACGGCGCGGGCTGGTTCTCCAGTCGGGGCTCCAAGATAGAGGCGGGGAGACGTAAGGCTTGCGTACGGGGGACTCGGGCTGGCCCAACGGGGCCATCCGAAAAAATGACGGGACCCAATCTGAAATTTGACGCGGGCTCCCGCTGCAGGCATCCCACGGAAACTGGACCGTCAAAATCCAGGATGCGCTCGTCAAAACACGTCGGCGAACCCGGGTTTTGGCTAACTCGAAACTTACGTCTCACCAATAGAAGAACAAACAAATCACATACGTCAGCACAAACTGTCGGAGGTCCACAAATTTTGGGGATCGGCGCTGGGCATCCCTTCCTTGCGCGCGGAGGGCGCCATGGGTGGCGCCCGAGGCGCCGCCAAAGAGCTCCAGCGCCGATCCACGTTATGTTTATGTCATTTGCTGCTCTTACAAAAACGACCGCGCTAGAAAACCTGCCCGCGGAGAGTTCCTGGCAAACCTGACCTGGGTAGCATTTGCGAAATCGGAATGGGAAACGAATCGGAACGTGAACGCATGGTCCCGAACCGAATCGAGATCGGAACCGGCTGGCTCTGGCCGGCGCCTGGGAATCAAACGTAATCGAATCGAATCGGAATCGCCGTTCCAGCCGGCGAATCAAATCGACCGAATTGCATGGAACGCTTCTTGACGTGAGTGGAAAGCGCGAGAATCCGAACATGGCTGCAGCGCGTACCAACACCGAAATCAACGGTAATTCGCATGGGCGCTCCTCCCGAACGCACACAGGGTGTATCAAGTGGAGTGGAGCTCGCTACCCACGTAAGTTCACACGTGGCGCAGGACTGGCGGAGGTCGCAAAGTGTTCCTGGCCCACGGAGGCACCTCGTCCTCATCCCGGGAGGAGGCCCGCGGATTTGCGCGAGTGCGAAACGTGCTGTGGTCACGCGAGTTTCTCGCCATCGTCCTGATCGGCATCGGCGACGTCGTCAGCACCATCACCACCACAACTGCCATCGTGTTCACCACCACCATCATCACCACGGCCATCACCACAATGACCCTCATCACCCGCATCTTCACTCCAGCTTGAAACTTCAAACGTCAGCCCGACTGCATGTTTGAGGATGTCTCAGGCGAAAGGCCTGCTGCTCAGCAGTAGCACTGGGGCAATAATTTGTGGTCCGGGGACAGTGTTTCCTTGACCGTCTTCCCTCCCCTCCTCCGCAAACAACCGATGCAATTCTCCACCCGCGCTTTTTCAAGAAAAACCCAAAACGAAAATGATCAAGAGAGCCCGCGATGCTTTCGACAAACAGCCGCGAAAGGCTGCTGCACTTGAAGCCCCTAAGTGCAGCGGGCGATGTAGCATGATAGAGGCCCTGCTACTGTTCGTCGCCCAATCATCATCATCGCCACCATGATCACCAGCGTTGTCATCATAATCATCGCGGCGCGCGTGCGGCGAGAGGCCCAGCATGGGGCGGCCCCGCCTCTCGCGCGCGGGCTGCGCGGCGCCGCTCAGGTGGTGGAGCCCACCCGCTCGCCGACGTCGTCGAAACAGCAGCGCCGCAGGTCAGCCTTGGTAAAGGAAGAGGGGGGCCGAGGAGCTGCAGAGACAGCAAGGGCGCAGGAGGCGAAGAGAATAAAAAAGGTCCTTCCCCCGCGCCGGCGCAAACGAGCCATCTACGCGCGGCCGCCGCGGCGCGCGCGCGTCGGGAAACCCAGGGGTGGGGGCCCGCCCAGCGCCGCGCGGGCCGAACGGCGCCGCTCAGGTGGTGGAGTCCGCCAGAGCGCCGCCGCCGGCGAAACAGCCATACCCATGCCCATAGTCCTGCCGCGGTGACATGGCCTCGGTGGGCGACCGCACAGCGAGCTGACCACGCAGAACGGCCGACGAGGAAAAGAGGAAGCGGCCAGGCAGTCACCCGTCGCGACGTGGGAAGCAGTGCGCTGGCAGGCGGGCGCAAGATCCAACTCTGAGGCCGCCTTGGCAGGCGCGACGCCCGGAGCCGAGAACGAGTGGTTCCGCCGAGTGCGGAGACCGCTGTGCCCCGAGGTCGTGAGTGGATCGGCGAGACACGGAGGCTGAAGCACCTGTTACAACGGCCTCCGTGCAGAGCTGCCGGAACAGCGAGCATGCTGGGCCGGGGAAGGTGCGACGGGTCTTCGGCGCAGGCATCGGAAGGAAGGCGCCGCCGCTGGAATCAAAGCGATCGCATGGCGGCGAGAGGTCACACGACGACGAGCCGCCAAAAACTCCCCAGCTCCTCAGAACCACGGTGAAACCCATGAGCAGCTGCGCTGCCACCAGTGGCTCGCCCCAGAATATAGTTAATGATGCCGCTGATTGCACGCCGTGGCGCTGGAGCCGACGGCGAGTGGAGTCGCCGGGCCATCAGGACAACCCCTGGTGATCGCCCGAATCGAAGTCCGACTCGAGTGGCCCAGCAGCCGAAGGAGCTGCGCCGCCGTGGCACATGTCATCGCGAAGCGGCCCGGCAATACCTGACCTGATCGTGGCGACGCCCAGCAGCGTTTGCTTTAGCAGCGCCATCGGGGTGCCATGCGGGGCGTTCGCGGTTGCCCGCTGGCGCTAAAGATCTTTCGAGGCGCTTTCCGCCGATCGGTGATGCGGCGCGACAGCAGCGGCTTGCGCAGCTGCGTTGGGCCCCCAGGGGCGCTCCTGAAGCCGCGCACCAAAAGTCATTCTAGTCCAGGGTCACTCTTAAGTGTAGTCGACAGACGTAAAAAAAGACTCTGCCGGCTTGAAAGATTCTAAAAAACCCCACCACACGTGTGCTACAGATTCTTGGGCGCTCCTGGACCTGTGCGGGACATTCTTGGGCGCTCATGGAACGTGTCGGCGTGCACCAGGCCAGGTCTGAGTGAAGTCATAACAATTCCAAGAGTGGCCAACGACGGGGCAAAGCGGTCCCAAGGGGCTCCCAAGAGCAAGAGGGTCCCGAGTCCCCCGAAGACCGCTCGAAGACGCTCAATCCAAAAGGCCCCAAAGACGCCCCAAGAGTTCTCCAAGAGGCCCCCCAAGACGGCCCCGAGATGCCAAAACCATTTATTGCCAGTTAATCTTCTGCACATTTGGGCGTTCTCGCCTTTCCGGGCTTTTCGACGCTCCAAGACGGCCCAAATGGCCCCCAAGATCACCCCAAGAGGCCCAGACGGCCCAAGAAGCCCCAAGACGGCCCAAGAGGCCACAAAGACCGGCCCAAGACGGCCCCAAGAGGACCAAATTCAAACTGACATTTCGCGCCCTCCGCCCCAAGATGGCCCCTGGGACCGCCAGCAGGCCCCCGAGAGACCACCTGAAGACCCAGCTGAAACCCTAGGATGCCCCAAGAGATCCCAAGGAGGTCCCCGAGAGGCCCCAAGACACACCCAACAACCACCTCCAAGAGACTTTTGAGAGGCCTCCCAAGAGATTCCAACACGCATCCAAGAGGCCTCTGACCTACAACCCAAGAGCGGTGGCGGATGGGCCGAAGGCCAAACTACTGAAATCTGGTCAACGTCAAGCCTGTCCTCACTCGTGTAGATCGCCCCCTGCGGAGCACATTGGCCCAGCATGGTGCTGCCCAGATCTTGCTGGGAAGAGGAGGGCGAGGGTCACCGCAGGCAAGGCACCACACAGGAGCGAAACGCCACGGCGTGACCAGGATGAATTCTCGCCTACCGTGGAATCCTTCTGACTCCACGCATGCAGACTCCGAAGGATGGCCGCCATTGGAAGCGCGCGCCAGGGGGTGGAGCGAAGGGGGTGGCCGTCTATCAAGGGGCCATGGGACACACAAATAAATAGGCACAACTCCCACGATTCCGCATGTTTTTCCATGTTTTCTGGTCTTCGTCTTCCCCCCCAACTTCCCATATGTTCCTATACTTTCCTGGGAGTCGACGCTTCATCGTGTCTGTGTGTTTTTGCCCCTCCTGAGTCTAAGGAGGCATGGAGCTTGTCAGAAGCCTCCCCGCCTCTCTCATGAGCCCCAATGGCCCACCCCCTGTGCGCGTCGCTAGGGGGCCACCTGCGAACCCTACCCCTACCCCCACGATTTCTGAGGGGGAGGGTGGGGTTCACTTCGCTCGGGAGCTCCCGCACGAAGCGAACCCCACCCTCCCCCTCAGAAATCGTGGGGGGTAGGGGTAGGGTTCGCAAGTGGCCCCCTAGTCGCCAACACCAGAGAAGTGCCAGGAAGCTGGCCTGCATGGCCATAAGAGGGCTGCGCGCTGGAAAAACAGCCGGCCACGCGTGCACCCGGCTCCCGCCCAGGCCGGCCACGTCATGCGCATCCAGCTTGCCGGCACGATGATCGGGAGTTCCCTCCGAGGCAAGCTACGTCACATAGCCTCCGCCGCGCTGAGCCGCGGGTAGTGCGACGGCACCGTGCCCTCGGGCGCTACGCGCGGAAACTCGAGCTCGCCCCCGCCGGCCGCGAACGCCTGGCTCGTGTTGGTGTGCCGCGGGTCCAGGCACGGGACGACGCTCTTGTGAGGGTCGTATTTGCAGCACGTCTCGGCGGCCGAGCGGAACATGTAGTCCTGAGGGGGAAGGATATGAGCATCGTTGAACCGATCCCCATCCCCACTGGCATGGCCTTGGTCCCAATGGCCAACTTAACCCTCTAGGTGGGGACGCATGCTGCTCCCCCTTCAGGCTTCGAGGGGCCGACCCCCACCTGGGGAGGGGGGGGGGGGGGCAGGTGGGGCCGAGATGCCATGCTCCGGTGGGGATGGGCATCGGTTGAGCGATGGCGATGCCAGGGGGACTGGCTCCATGGGGGGCAACATGGGCTCGGGATCGGTGGCACACCGCCGGTGGATCGGCCATCCGCCCCTGCCAGCAAGACCGCTCGCTCCCGGGCGGGCTTGGGCGCCCGGGACGGGCGACGGGGGGCCGATGCCTTCTCCCCCGGGTCAGTTCCCCCTGTCGCTGCCCCGGATCTCCCCGCTCGTCAGCAAGCTGCACCGCTTGTAGCAGCGGTCCGCGTGCAGCTCCTCGTCCACATAGCAGGCGCCCCTGCCATGTGGGCAGCCCCCTCCCTGGCTGTCCCCCGCCACGTCGAAGCCGCTGCAGATCCGGAACTTGACCTTCTGGTTGAGGAGGGTGCACGGGGCCTCCTTCGTCGGGGAGGCGTAACCCCCGAGTTCGGATGTGTCGAAATCGCTTGGCGGGGCCGCACGAACAAGGACGGGGCCGAATCAGAAATGTGCAACGAACTCCCGCTGCACACATCTCGCGGAAGAAGGGGCCGTCAACAAAAACGACGGCCAGCCCGAACCCTGGCAAACTCGAGCAGTACACGTCCCCTCTACTCGGGAGCGGCAAAGAGGGGGGTGTCCAAGAGGGGGGGGTGCAAATCATGACCGGCGGCATGTGCGCGCCCCAGCGGGGGGGCCAGGGACGTAACGAAATAAGAAGAGGCGCCATGAGATCTGGGGAAACATCATGGCCCGCGCCATGATATCCCCCCCCCCCTAGTCACCAGCCCCCTCTTTTCCGCCCCCGATCTACTGCATGACAAAGGAACGATGCTCGCCACGACCTCTCCGGGAGTCTGCGCAGATGTCTCGGCTCGGCGCTGCCCCCCCTCTCCCCGGCGCGCAGGAGAAGGGCCGAGGGCGGCGCCCGCGGCGCCGACAAGGGGGTGCACCGCCGACCCAACAAAAGCAGCGCGGACTCTTCGAGGCGCGCGGGCACAGTCGGGGCCCTGAAGAAGGGAACCCTTTTCGTGGGGGAGGGGCTCGGTGTTCCTGAAGTGTTTCACGGCTTGCCGCGGGCTGTCCGTATGTTTCCGACAGGAAGTCGAAGGTTAACTTGTGGAGCAAAAGGGGCCGCGTTCCTTATTTAGGGTTCCTTAGGTCGACGCCCCGACTGTAACTTATGCGTTCTCGAGTCGAGAACGCATACCCGCGCGCATCGGTTTACGCAATCGTGTGGCACCAAAACAGAACGCGTTCGGAGCGAGAAACAGATCAAATAACAAAACAACAGTTTTGTCATGTAAAAAAGGCGTTTTCGACCAGCGCTGTTCGAGAACGCATACCCGCGCACATCGGTTTACGCAATCGTGTGACACCAAAGCAAAACGCGTTCGGGCAGAAATCAAAGAACGAAACAACATGTTTTTCATGTAAAACAGCGTTTTCGGCCAGCGCGGTTCTCGACGTGGGCGCTGCTTGCCAGGCCGAAGAGACGGGGAACGCACAGCTCGGGAACGCATACATAGCTCTCGGGCCCCCGCCTGAAGCGCCGACCTCGGCATCCTCCAAATGGAATGCAATCGATCAAGACGTCTGGCAGCGCGCAAGCGTTTGTTTGGCTCTGTTCCCCTTCCGTGAAGGGGTCCCAGGACACACACGTAAAAATACACACAAAGAAACCTATTCCCCATAGTTTCCCATATGTTCTGGGCTTCTATCTTCCCCCCCACTTCCCATAGTTTCCCATCTTTTCTGGGGAACCGAGGATTCATTGTGTCTGTGTGCTTCTTTTCCTCTTGATTCAGATCCTTGCAGCAGGAGAAGGCGCTGGTGCGGATCGGGTGGTCGCCCGTCAGCAGGCTGCACTTCTTGTAGCAGAGGCCTGCGGCGGCATGCGATGCGGCAACTTACGTCGGCGACGGCCTTGGCGAAGCTAGTCGCGCAAATAATGAAGGCAAACTCCACCAGCGAAGTTCGCCAGACCGCAGTATACGTATGTTTGGGCGGTGCCGACTTCATTGTTTTTGTGACTAGCTTCGCCGAGGCCGTGGCCGACGTGAATTATCCCACTGCGCGCTGCCGAGGCCTGCGTGCTCCTCTTCGTCGTCTGGACACGTGTTCCCGTCGTGCAAGTCGTTGGCCCTGCTTGGCGGGGCGCACGGGGGCGTGGCCTTCTAAGAACGCGAGGGGCTTCTCCGGAGGCCGAGCTCTTCTTAGAAGGTGGGGGCGCTTCGCGGATCGCAGATGGAGGGCGCTCGGAGAAAAGCCAATTCAGACAACGGCAGCTAAAATTCGGTCCCTGGATCCGGCGGGACTACTCCCCGGGTCCAGACGCACCAATCTCCCGAGCTGCGTCCAACATGTGGCGACGAGGGCCCCCGAAAGCCAATTACCGTTGTTTCAACTCGCCCTTCTCTCGCGCTTCCCCCCAGTGTCGGCGACTCCGAAGGGTGTGGTTTGCAAAGGGTGGGGTTTGGAACCGCGCGCCTGTAGGGGGGCGGGCGAGGATCTCGGCTGAGATCTGTGCGGTATGCCCCGACGAGGGCTCACCAAACTTTTAGCGCAATGTGGTGGCCTCTACAATCAAGAACTTTTGGATAGCGTGTCGCGGCGGCGGCCCCAGCGATACGCTACCCCTTGCAAGCAGATAGCGTGTCGCTCCTCTTCGCGGGGCAGGAGGCTGCGAAAAGCCTGGCACGTGGACGCCCGGGGACCAGAAAGCGGAAAGCGTGCCGCTCTGAGGCGTGGTGGGCCAACACCGGCGGCGCGATACGCTGAGCCGAAACTCGTGACCTGACCGTGGGCCCCAACAGCGCCGACCGCAAAAACCGCGCCCCGGCCCAACCGCACCCCGTGGGGAGGAGGAGGAGGAGCAGGAGGAGGAGGAGGAGGAGGACGAGGAGGAGGAGGAGGAGGAGAGGGAGGGGAGGAGGAGGAGGAGGAGGAGGAGGAGGAGGAGGAGGAGGAGGAGGAGGAGGAGGAGGAGGAGGAGGAGGAGGAGGAGGAGGAGGAGGAGGAGGGGAGGAGGAGGAGGAGGAGGAGGAGGAGGAGGAGGAGGAGGAGGAGGGAGGAGGAGGAGGAGGAGGATGGCGCGCGCCGCCGGCCTGCTGAGGAGCAGCCGCATCTTCTCCTGGTTGGCGCTGTCCTGGGCCCAGCGGCTCCAGGTGCCGTTCCGGAGCAGCTGCCTCAGCGGCCCGTCGCCTTGGGGCGCGCCCGCCGCGGGGCCGAACAGCTCGCCCCGCACCTGGAAGAGCAGAAGACGGCACAAGCACGAGGTCGGGCATGTCCCCCTAGAGGCGTGTTTTGGAGGAGAAATAAAACATACTCAGAACATACGCCCAGATAGCCAAAAAATAATCAAACATTCGTCCCCAGACTATCGTTCGACTATTTTCAAATCTTCCTCCTGTAGAGGGACACGCCCGACTTAACACAAGCACAGAACCTGGGGCCTACAAGACTCGTCAACACGTAAACTGACCGTTGTTGTTCTCGGTGCTCGTGTGCTCGGCGCTGCCGCACCGCTGGCAGGGTGTCCGAAACCCGGCAAGCCCCGGCCGGCATTGAAAAACGAGCTTTGTGACAAGTGTCCGAACGATCGAGTTCCACGATGTTGAACAGCGTGTCCATTTGTGTGTCGACAAGGACTGTAGGATCCGCTGCCTTTCCCTAGGACCGGATCGGAACTGGAACCGAAGTCTGGAGATCGGATCGGGTCGAATCGGGCCTCGGAGGGCTCAAAATATACACCTATGTTTAGGTCGCGCATTTCCTCCTACAGGCGGATTTTGGGAGAACGATGAAAGTAGTCAAAAAATACAACAAAATCAAAAATCGTCCACAGACTATGTGTTGTCTAATTATGAAAATTCCTCCTGTAGAGGGACATGTCCGACTTACACCTATGTCGATCCTGGCCAGGCCGATGCTGGACCTAGCATCGGTGTATATGCCTTCCTGCCGAAGCCAGGAGGGCGTACACACCGATCCTGGGACCAAGACGGTGCTGGCCAGGAGCGGTGCAGGTGCACAGCAGGCACCTACGATGAGAAACCTTGCTACACGAAGTCCAAGGGCACGTTTGTCGTCTAGCTTTTAGCTTCATGATGTCCCACCAGCCCTCTGGGCGTAAGCGGTTTCACGAGCTTCGCCTTCTCTCTCTCCACAGCCCCTCCTTCCCCTGCTCGGGGGAGGGGACATGCCTCCCGATGTGTGCTCGGCACACCTGGCGCACGCGGAGCACGTGGCACATCTGTCGGGTCGGGCGAAAGGGGGGGATAGCAAAGGGGGGGGGTGAGAATCAGCTCACGTTGCTGATTTTCCCGGCGCCTTCCGGCGCCGGAGGCGGCTATGTATTGAGGAATGGGCCCCTCGGTGAGGCCGAAACCAGCTGCATGCAGCAAATTTCGTACCCCCCCCTTTCCCAATCCCCCCCGTTCGTCCGGCCCGAATCTGGCGCACCAGGCGTGCCCGGCACGCTCGGGCCCCAGCAGCGCGTCTGTCGTCTGGCTTGAAACGCCATGCAGTCCCCCAGGACCGCCGCAGGGCCCCCACGGCCATCGGGGAGCACAGGACATTTCCGCGGGGCGCCTGCTGGCAGGCTGGTCCTTGCTCCCGTGCCGACTGTACAGGGCAGATTTTAAGACATGGGATTTCTAAAAATATCGGATTTTTAATACATGATTAAATGTATGAATAAATTTATGCATGAACTCATCCTTGTATTTATGAGTGAACCCTTTATTTTCAACACATGGTCCGCACGCGGAGCATGCATTAAAAACGGCACTGCAGACAGAAACTGCCCTGGGGCGGCGCGGACTCCTTCGCGTCGGCGCTGAGCCCCCCCTCGCTGGCGCGCGGAGCCCGCCAGGGGCGGCGCCGGAGGCGTCGCCGAGGGCCCCCTCTGCCGACCCGGGACATCCGCGCGGACCTCCCCCAAAAAGCATGCCTGTGCCGGTTACTGATCTGTCGGCCGCCTGCTCGAGCTCGTCCTCCAGCTGCCGGACCCTCTTCGAGATGTCCGTCGCGTCCTTCGCCAGATCGCCGCCCCCCATCGCCTCTTGGGACGCCCGCAGCGGGTGAAGGAAGAAATGATACGCTGCCCCGAAGCGGCAACGGGCCGCTGTGTGAGCAGGCGACCCTGTGTCGGAAGGGAGCAACCTCCGTGGCGACAGCGACAGCGAGTCCTGCTCAAAGTGGGCAGGAGCGCGGGAGCGACTGCCGGGGTGGACAGAATTTCCTGTCGCGAACACCATGAAGAAAGAAACTCACCCGGGACCAGACCCGGCGGGCGCAGGCCCGCCAGAGTCGACGGTGGACAAGCCTCCCTTTGGTAGACCACCCTCTAGTGAAACCGGCCTGGGACCAGAAGCGACGCGCCTGGGCCCGCAAACATGACGGCCGCGAGGCCCCCTCGCGAAGCGAAAACGGCCGATTCACTGATCGACGCGTCCGGGTAGGAGGCCGATCACTCTCTCCGACAAAGCTGCGGCGGCCGCCGCGGCCTCTGAAGTAAAACGCAAAACAGGGAGCTCCGCGGCTCGACCCGGCAGGCTGGGGGCTTCCTTCGACCTCCGCTGCTGTCGGCCCTCGCCCCCATGCTGGAGGCCTCCCACACCTTGCCGTCGCTCGGACGTCCATTTCCTGTGTTTCTTTCGGCTTCGTGCGTGGTTTTTTTTGCCGAAGGATCAAGGATGCTCCTCGATGGTCCTCGCCGAAAGGAAAATGCACGCGTCCGAGCGATGCCAGGACACGGGCTCCGAGCAGATGGGGCCGGAGGAGGAGCGGGCCACATCGCCGAGCATCGCCACCGTCGGCGTGGAGAGAACATCGGGCTCCGCACCGAGCCGCGCCGCCGATGCGCCGGCGATGCGGCGCGACCCTCCGTGCCCACTTACTCCGATCCCATCTCGGGGGTCCTGGAGGCCCTGTCGGCCTTTCTCCCCGTGCTTCCCGTACAGCCGGACTTGGTTGGACAGGACACGCGAGAGGACACAAGACCCTTCCGGGGGCCACATTGCCACAGGACTGTATGTAAGAGGCATGGGTCGCGAGACACAGGACACAAGAGCACCCTTGATTTGGCAGGGTCGACCTACTATCTGGGCCGACTGTACAGTCGAGGCGTTGACCTAAGGAACCCCAAACATGGAACGAGGCCCCTGTTTCCCATACGTTCAACCTCGATTTTCCATGGAAAACCTCAGGAAAACCCGAGACGAACTCAGAAATATTCGAGGAACACCGAGCCCCTCCCCAACGAAAAGGGTTCCTTCTTCAGTGCCCCGACTGTACCTCAGAGGAGGAGCAAGGACCACTGGTACCGAACATTCCTCGGGGGGAGGGCCGACCCCTGGGCGGTGGCACGCCTAATTACGCGTCGTCAAAGTACCCGACGGGTCTCGGGCGTGCCACCGCCCCCAGGGGTCGGGTTGCCCCCCGATGGGGTTCTCGGTAACGGTGGTCTCTGATCCTCCTCTAGGGGTACAGCCGGGGCGTTGACCTAAGGAACCCAAAGTCAGGAACGAGGCCCCTTTTTCCCATAGGTTCAACCTCGATTTCCCATGGAAGACCTCAGGAAAACCCGAGGCAAACTTTGAAACAATCAAGGAGCACCGAACCCCTCCCAAACGAAAAGGGTTCCTTCTTCAGCGCCCCGACTGTACCCCCTTTCCAAACCCAAACGAGGTCCCCCGGAACTCTGGACCACTTCCCGGGGACCTGTTCGCAAGGCAAGCGCAATCTTCGCATCCCCCTACAAAAGAGGACGCCCCTGTGAGCGCGACCCTGGCGGTGTCTAATCCAAGGATCTCTGCGCCCACCGCTCTGGAGGCAAACGCGCAACGTATTCGAAAACTTCCCAAGATCACGGCTTCCCTCGACCACGCGCGACTGCCACGTCTCGCCACTTCTTGACGGACCCTCCCGCGCCAAAGGATGAGAGAAACAGCCTCCCGTGCGCGCCGCCACCTCGACACCCCTCCCCGAACCCCCGACGTCGTGTTCTTTAACAGCGCCGACCCCCAGAGGTCTGGACCCCTTCTCCGGTACGGGTTCCTCATCCTGAGCCGTTCTTCGACGGTCCCGGGGCCTGGTGAGGGCCCCCGACAGTCGAAAATTGTGCAAAACCTCCCCTCGCGTTTTTTCCCGCAACTCCAGGGGGTCTGGGTTTATGTTGCTCCCGTCGTACTTAAGAACCACATCTCAGAAATAATGTCGAGCACCCAGAAAAGTGTCAAAAGAGTGTCGAAACAGTGTCGGGCGAGTGTCTCCCAGGGCCCGACACGTGAAAAACCCTCGGAGCTTAGGTACTTTTCTTCTGGTGCTCGAAATTCTTCCTGGTGGTCAAGGCGAAAGCAGGTTGGAACATCATAAGTCCGGCCAATCTGCGGCCAATATGCGCGGCCGCCTCGCGGCCACGAGCGGCTCGCTAACCCGGGTCAGCCAGAGGGGGTCCTCGCAGAATTTTGCAGGATCTGGCGCCCTGGCTGACCCCCGTTTGCACTGACCCTCGTCTCTTACAGTCGAGGCGTTGACCTAAGGAACCGTAAATAAGGAACGGGGCCCCTGTCTCCCAAAAGTTGAACTTCGATTTCCCATTGAAAACCTCAGGAAAACAAAAAGGCAAACTGCAGAACAATCAAGGAACACCGAGCCCCTCCCCAACGACAAGGGTTCCCTCTTCAGGGCCCCGTCTCTTCGGCCCCGATCGAGGGGGTCTGGGTCCGAGCCGGGCCTCCAGCAGTCCCGCCTCGCCCACCTTGAGCAGGGACCGACCGTCCCGGCATTCCTATAGTCCCACCACGACATGTTCCTAGAACCCCAACAATGTTCTAAGAACAAAAACAATGTTCTTATAACAGAAGCCCGATGTGACACAACAAGACAGGCTCCGCCAGAACTGCTCCAAGACCATTCCGTGGGAACCACGAGAGGTTCTCAGAACACTGTTTGCTAGGGCTATAGGCGAGCCAGGACGCTTCGCCACTGCTCGCCCACCGCGGCGCTCGCGCGGGCGGCCGCCGGCCGCCCGCGGGGCGCGGCCCCGCGAGCGGCGAGCAGGGCGGCGGCCGCCGCCGCGGCGGCGCACGCGGCCGCGGCCGCCCGCGGCCACCTGCGCGGGCGGCGCGCACGGCCCGACGCCGGGGCGGCTCGAGCGAGGCAACGCCCCTGGGCGCGGCGGGCTCTCGGGCCCCCAGCGGCGGGGGCGGGGCATCCGGCCCCCTATCGGCGATCCTCCTCCTCCTCCTCCCTCCTCCTCCTCCTCCTCCTCTTCCTCCTCCTCCTCCTCCTCCTCCCTCTCCTCCTCCCTCCTCCTCCTCCTCCCTCCTCCTCCTCCTCCTCCTCCTCCTCCTCCTCCTCTCCTCCTCCTCCTCTCCTCCTCCTCCTCCTCCTCTCCTCCTCTTCCTCCTCCTCCTCCTCCTTCAGCTCACGTAGCTGATTTTCCCGGCGCCTCCCGGCGCCGGAGGCGGCCTCACCAAGGGGCCCATTCCTCGATCGAGGAATGGGCCCCTCGGTGAGGCCGAAACCAGCTGCATGCAGCAGATTTCGTAACCCCCCCTTTCCCAATCCCCCCCTTTCGCCCGGCCAGACCGCTCTGCGAGGGCCCCGGGGCCCGAAGCCGGGCGAAGACGCCCCGCGTGAGGACGTGGCCACGCCGGGGCCTCCGCGGAGGGGCAGTGATGAGTCGGCAGGGCCTGGCTCAGGGCGAGAATTGGCGGCGCGCAGAGGGGGGTAGGGGGAGGGGAAGGCTTCTTAGAAGCACCCTGCTTCTTAGAAGGCCTCGGCTTTACGTCGATAGAGAAAGCCCGCGCCTTCTAAGAAGCAGGGGTGCTCCTAAGAAGCCTTCCCCCCTCCCCCTACCCCCCTCTGCGCGTTGCCGAGAGAAACGTGGACCCGGCATCGGCGAGGCATCGCCCGAAGATCAGCGTTGTGCGCTCGATGGCAAGCCCGAGCATTCCTCCGAGAGGCGGGGGGTGGGGCCATCAGGCCCATGCCGGCGACCGATGGGCGGTCGGGGGTCGATGCGTTCCCCCCTGGGCCTGTCCCCCCCCCCATCGTTGCCCCTGCTCTAGGCCAGCTGCGGAGCTGAGATTCACACCAGTCGACAGGGAATGATGAGCGGCATCAGTAGAAAGTATCTATACGCCTGAAGTCGGTCTGCTACCAGAGCTGCAACCAAATAATGATTTGCACTCTTTCATTTTTATGAGAGACGGTGTACTCGTTGCCCGTGAGCGGCCAAGGGGGGGGGTGTCCAAGAGGGGGGGGTGCAAATCATGACCGGCAGCATGTGCGCGGCCCAGCGGGGGGGCCAGGGACGCAATGGAATAAGAAGAGGCGCCATGAAATCTGCGGAAAGATCATGGCCCCCGCCATGATATCCCCCCCCCCTAGTCATCCCCCCCCTCTCTGCCGCCCCCGAGTTGCCCCTGATCAGGGAACGCGCGGAGCCGGGCCACTGCGCGGCGCGGGAGCACCTGCGGCCCCTGCCGGCGGCAGGCCGCTGCGCCGCCCCGCCGGCCAGCAGCCCGGCGTCGGCGGTGCCGGCCTCCTCGTCGGACGGGGCGCCGGGCTCCAGCCGGCAGGGCTCCAGCTCGGCGGCGAGGCGCGGGCTGCGAGGAGCGGGCATGGCGGGCGCCGCCCCCTTGCAGGCGTGGAGCAGAACTGGGTTTAGTGGAGCCTGGTTTAGCGATGCGTACCAAGGGGGCGCCTCCCCCCACCCGCCCGCCCTGTTCCGCTGACCGGAGCTGCCGTCCCCCAGAAAGCACGAGTTGCGGCAAACCTGGTTTAGCGGATCTGGCCAATTGAGGGGCCCCAGGGCCCTACCACTCACCGGGTCCCCTTACCCGGGGCCCTGGCTATACCCGACCCTTGCAGGCGCGGAGCGGAGGAACACGCAGCGGCAGAAGCAGAATTTCTCCGGGGTGGGGCCCGGAGCGGATTTGCCTTGGAGCGGCGATGGAGGGGGGCCCTGCGCCGATGCAAGAGATCCGCGCGGACGTAGGGCAAATGGTGTTCGTGGCGCTGCTTGTCCTTCGAGTGGCGGGTGCCCCCCGTGGAGGCTTGAAAACAGGCACCAGCGCCATCGCAGGGTGCGGTTTGAACAGGGGCGGGATGATCCTAGGGCTTGGTGTTTGCGGTGCAGTAGGGGCTCGACCACAAGAAACCTGCCGCAAGAAACCCAACCCTGAGACCCCAGGGCGCCCATTCACTTTTTGGCGTGGGCACGTCTCGCTTTCCATCGCAGAACCCT